TACAGTTCTTCTCCTACTATGGTGAAGCGGACGGCTCTTGTTTTTAACTTCCGTGCTTCATTGGGATCCGTTGGAAGTTCCCCCTCCTTGAGATACTTTAGAATTCGAGTGAACCAGCATGGTTCATCCTCGTCGGTGTAGTGTAATTCAGTAGGCGAATTTATCTCCGGCTGAGGTGAGGTGAGGAGCGTCACCTTCCGACTTCCGATGCTGGCCATGGAGCTTCCTAGCCTAGCTAATTTGTCTGCATGGACGTTATTGGAGCGAGGTACTTGCTTTATCTCATAGCTCTCGAATTTAGATAAGAGAGTGTGCGCGAGAGCTAAGTATTTGGCCATGATGTCTTCTTTGGCCTCGTAAACTCCGAGTACTTGGTTAACGACGAGCTGAGAGTCGCTTTGGATTAGGAGCTTGCGCGCTCCGGCTGCTGGGGCAAGGCGGATTCCCGCTATCAGTGCTTCGTATTCAGCGACGTTGTTTGAGGCTGTGAATTCGAATCGTTGAGCATATTCGAACTCGTCTCCATCAGGGCTCGTTAGGACGATACCCGCTCCCCCTCTTGTGGCAGTGGAAGATCCATCCACGCTGACAGACCAAGTAGGTAGAGAGGTGTTTTCTTCCATTGAAGTCATTTCGACTAGAAAATCAGCCAATACTTGCGCTTTAATAGCGGGGCGGGGTTTGAATTCGACTCCATATTCGCTGAGCTCTATCGCCCATTTTGCTAATCGCCCGGATGTTTCGACTTCTTAGTATTTGCTTCAGAGGGTAATTTGTGAGAACCACCACTTGATGTGACTGGAAGTACGGTCGAAGCTTGCGAGCTGCGTTGATGAGGGCGAGAGCGAGTTTCTCCATGTTGGTGTAACGTTGTTCGGCTCCTTGGAGTGCGCAACTTATGTAGTATATGGGTTGGTGGCCCTTTTCTCCATCTCGAATGAGGACTGCGCTGACGGCATTGGCGGAGGTAGCTAGGTATAGTAGGAGGGTGTCTCCGGGCTGAGGTTTTGTGAGCAGGGGTGGGGATGCTAAGTACGACTTCAGCTCAACGAATGCTTTTTGACATGCCTCATCCCACTCGAACTTTTTTCCTCCCCTTAAGATTTTGAAAAAGGGGAGAGCCTTGTCCGCTGATCTTGAAATGAATCTGTTCAGGGATGCCAAACAGCCGTTGAGCTGTTGAACTTTTTTGATCGACGTCGGCGGAGTCATGGAGGTGATTGCTTCGATTTTCGCGGGGTTAGCTTCGATTCCTTGCTGCGAAATCATATATCCCAAAATTTTGCCTCCCCGAACTCCGAATGAACATTTGAGGGGGTTGAGCTTCATCTTATATTTTCGCAGGGTGGCGAAACACTGATCCAGATCTGTTAGGTGGTCCGGGACCTTAACACTTTTGACGATCATGTCGTCGATGTACACCTCCATATTTTTACCGATCTGATCTGCGAACATTTTGTTCACTAGACGCTGGTAGGTGGCTCCTGCGTTTTTCAACCCGAAGGGCATGACTTGATAGCAGTAGATGCCTTGGTCAGTGATGAAACTAGCCCTCTCTTGATCTTCTGGCGCAAGTAAAATTTGGTTATACCCTTGGTATGCATCGAGGAAGCTGAGGAGCTCGCATCCTGAGGTCGAATCGATGAGTTGATCGATTCTAGGTAGAGGAAAATGATCCTTAGGACAAGCTTTGTTGAGGTCGGTGAAGTCTACGCATAGTCTCCACTTCCCCCCGGGTTTGGGAACGAGTACTACGTTCGACAACCATTCAGGATACTGAACTGGTCGTATATGACCCGCGTCTAGAAGTTTCGCCACTTCTGCCTTGATGTGCTTGTTGCGTTCGGGTCCGAATGTTCGTTTTCTTTGTTTGATCGGCCTTAACCTTTTATCGACGTTAAGCCGATGTAGAGCTACATGAGGGGGGATGCCCGACAAATCTTGAGCTTTCCAAGCGAACACATCGCCATTGTGCCGCAAGAATTTGATTAATTGCTTCTCCATTTCAGGATCTAAATCGGATCCGATGCGTAGGAGTTTGGAGCCATCTCCAGGGGTGAGCTCTATGAACTTAAGCTCTTCGACAGCTGCCAGTTTGATGCTATTGTCTGGTACACTGATGAGGATTTCTTTATTGTCCTCAATGATCGCATTGACCCATTTCCGCTTGTCGGATTTCTGGGTGTCGTCTCCCCTTCCGGGTGGTTTATGCTTGTTGGAGGGTTCTCGTAGGGCCCTTGCATAGCACTCTCGGGCGAGACGTCTGTCTCCAAGTATTTCCCCCATTCCATAGGGAGTAGGGAATTTCCACTTCTGATGGTAGGAGGAAGGTACGGACTTGAATGTATGGATGGCTGGCCTTCATAAGATGACGTTGTAGGGAGATGGCTTGTCGACGATGAGGAATTTGATCAGCTTGGTGATTCGACAAGGGTCTTCCCCTAAAGAGACGGGCAGCTCTACCTCTCCCATGGATAAGATGCCTTCCCCTGTGAATCATTTCAGGGGTGTGGAGACGGGATTAAACCGGGCATTATCTATGCCTAGCTGCTTAAAAGCGTGGAGGTACATGATGTCAGCTGAGCTTCCACCGTCCACTAATATCTTCTTGACCAAGAAGTTGGCCACCGTTGTTGTTACTACCAATGCATCGACATGGTCTTCATCTGGATCTTCGAGGTCGGAGGAATTGAAGACTATGTTGTGATCAGGTCTTCGTATTTGATATATGCGTGCGGATGGAGACGCACGTTCTTGATTCATGCGCGCTGATCGAGCGAGGGTGCGTCTTGCATTTTGTGAATCGCCCCCCGCCGGTCCTCCGGAGATAAATGAGATGATTCCCCGGGTAGGCTGGTTTCATTGTTATCCAGGTCACGTCGATGACCCCCATCTTCTTGTCTTTGTTGTTGATCTCGATTGTTATCTCGGCGTGGAGGATCATCACGGCGTTTATTTCGCGGCTTATCGATGTATTCGCCTAAATGGCCCTGTTTGATCAGCCTCTCAATTGCCGCTTTGAGTTGTGCGCATTCCTCCGTAGTATGCCCTTTGTCCTTATGGAATCGACAATAACGATCCGACTTTTCTCGCTTTGCATTCGGCTGCATAGGACGTGGAGGCTCCGCTAAACCTCTCTGTTCTATCACGTGAAGGATTTCAGTGAGGCGAGCGTTTAACGGAGTGAACCCATGGTAGGAGGAGGAAGGTTGGCTTTGAGGTGGAAGTGGTGGACGTCGGTCATCACGTCTCCTATTATCCTGACGGTCGTCTTCCCTTTTCCTTTTAGGAGGAGCATGGGTAGAGGCTTCCTCTATCCGGACGTACTTCTCAGCCCGATTTAGCAACTCCTCTAGGTTGCCTGGGGGTCTTCCGGCGATAGATTCTTTGAATCTACCCGGTTTCAAATTTTGCTGCATAATCCCGGAGAGCATGTCTTGCCCTACACTGGGGACTTCATGAACGGCTTCTACGAAACGCTTAATGTAGTTGCGGAGCGTTTCGTTATCTCTCTGCACTACAGAGAAAAGATGAGCTGGGGTCTTGGCATATTGTTTGTTGATGGCGAATTGGTTGGTGAACCGGGTTGACAACCGAGCAAATGTGTCAATGGACCCTATGGGTAGGGAGTTGAACCAATTCATTGCCCTCTTGGAGAGAGTGGTGCGGAACATTTTGCACATCGCAGCATCTGTTGGGCCATATAAATCCGCCATGGCACTGAATTTCTCTATATGTTCCTGTGGGTCGGTGGTCCCTTCAAATTGAGGTAACCCTGAGATCTTTACTCCTTGAGGTAATACCTCGTTGAGAATATCTATGGTGAAGGGACTGCGTCTTGTTGGGAGAGGCATTCTCTCACCCATTTGATTATTTGGTTGAGAGAAAAGGTTTTGGCGAGACATTCGGCTGTTTACCTCGCCTTCTCCCTCATTAAAGAGAGGGACTCTAGGTGGTGATGCATTCCCCCGGAGGGGTGAGCGCCGACGTTGTTGCCTGGGCTTTGCTCCTCTGTGATTGGTAGATAGCTGCACTCGGGACCGTGGGTCCGACGTAGAGGAGGAGACACTTATTTGATTCTGGATTGGCGGTGGGGCCACAGGTGGCACTATAGGTGGAGCTTGCGCTGGTATCGCATTGGGAGCGTTTGCTCCCATCGTGGCGATATATTGAGTTACGGCCTCCATGGCGGCGCGAGTAGAAGCTTCCGCTATCATGCGTTGGAGCGCGCCCTCGGTTATTTGAACCGTTCGAGGAGCAGGGAGTGGTGGATCGGCGAGTGGTGGGTCCCGAGGAGGGATCACCTGAACCTCGCGAGGTGGATCTGTAGCACGTGTAGGAGCTAGCTCCGTAGCACGTGGAGGAAGTTGTTCCGCGGGGCGTGGAGGAGGTGGTATGCCAGATCCTCCACGGACTGGGAGGTTATTTGCTGTATCATTTTCTCTCCGAGCTGACGCCTCAGGAGGATCTTGTTGGCTACGTGATCTGGTTTGCATCGTTCCCACAGACGGCGCCAAAATGATGATGCTAAAGTTTAGCTCACCTAGGATAATGTAGAAAACGAGCTGGGAGAGCAAAGCTGATCAGTAGCTAATCCATTCGATGCTCCTGAAGTCCCTGCGAAAAGAGCACACGTGAACTAAGCCGGGGGTTGATCCGGCGGAAACCCCTCCGACGCTCAAGTCAGATGTACGGATCGTAGAGAGAGTAGAGAGAATAAAACTCGAGGTGAATTGTCAATAATCAGAACGTACCTTTACAAATGAATAAAACTTCTATTTATATGTCGTTGATTGAGTTGGGCTTTTTTTGTTGGGCCCAAGCCTTACTTTGAAGGTGTTTGGGCTTTCGGGTAATGGGCCCGAATACTTTCGTGTATTGGGCCTAATTATTAAATAAATTGGGGCCCATTGGGTCGGCCCTATTAGGTATATCAATCTTGTATCCTTCTTCTTACATTGCAAAATAAGGTTGGACATTGCAACTAAAGTTTCGAATTCCGGTAAAAAAAAGATGTCGATTTTGGAACAATTTATTAAGTAGCAGAAAGGCCCGAACTACACATTACATATTAATTAAAAACATAAAAGAGTGGGCTAAAACATTAATTGGGCTTACAAACGACGGCCCGAATAGCTTAAATAATTAACATCTAATTCAGTTCTTAAAAACAACAATAAAAATATTAAAAAGCAATTAATTTGTCGTGATAAAATAATCAGGAAGCAGCAATCGGATCAGCAAACAAGGGATAAATATCATCATACACAATTTTGGCGGAGATCAAATTAGCAGCCTCCGTTGGATGGAAGGCGTCCCAGAACAAGTACTCGTCTCTGTTACTACACACAACGCTTCCTCGTATGCAGTGCCCGCTGTTGCTCACATCCGTCGACGTCGGGCAACACGGCTCCGTCGCCACCGTGATGTTGCCGTAGGATGTGGCGGTGGAGGTGTCTGTGTGAATGAATTTAGCGCCGGGGAGAAGTTTGTTGAGACTATCGATGAGAAGCTTCACACCGTCGGCGAAGATCTGGACTATTTCGTTGCTGGTTTCGAAGCAGAAGGATCCGTCGGAGCTGCCGTATGTGGATATCTGCTGGGGGACGCACCCTAATTTACCAGGTGCGAATACGACGACGTTTCTCGCTCCGGTTTTGTACAGTTTCTGATAAATTAAGCGCAATAATAGCAACTTTTCACATTTAATAAATATATTATTAATAAATTAAATTAAATTAAATTAAATATTGATAAATAATGTTTACTATGAGCTGCTTTGTGTATTTGGCAATGAGGAGTGCGGCGAAGGTTTGCGAGGTCTGTTTTGCGGTCGAGGCGTAGTATTTGGGGAGGTAATTTGCGAGGTAGTCGTTATTTCCCAGTCCCACTGAATACAAACACGATTTCAAGTGTTTTTTCGCTGCGCTTTTCCCGCCCACCAATTTCGCGATCCGCGAAATCGTTGCCTCGTGGTTCGATAATTGCTCGTCGAAACTGATTACGTCACCCTTAAACATAGGATATACAAAAACACAAGAAATTAGGTCCTCAGTAGCAATATTTAGTAATGTTGATCTACACCTACCAATGTGGATGTGTGTGTATATAAATAGCAAATATCTATTAGTAGTGTTCTCCTGATTAGTTTATTAGAGGCTACAGTTGGCACACGTGCTTTTTTTGTCAAATTTTTCACCCAATTTTATATATATGAGAGAGAGAGAGAGAGATTGTTTGTGTGTAATGTACGTAAAGTTGACGTCCAGATTCATAAAGAATCCCAGCACCGCCGGAGCCATAGTTTACACCGCCGAGAATATTCTGATTGGTGGCGGTAGCATACGGTGGAATGTACTCGTCAAAGCCCAACATTTCAGCTGCAAAATTAATTGATCAAAAATAAAATAAAAAATAGACACCATTATATTTAATCAATTAATTAATTAAGCAAAACAGAATTAATGTATATATATATATATATATATATACGTACGGCGTACCAATGATATCGATGGTATTACGGCCATTAGTGAATCTGCCGGTCGGGCCGGCGGGAAAGTCAACGCCGTAAGGCTCGTAGTTGACTTTAGCGGTGGTTTCGCGGTAATTGTTGTTGCCGTTGTCCACCAAAGAGTCGCCAAATATGAACAAGCACGGAACTTTTGGCTCACCGACAACCATACGATGATGACTTTGCAATATGATTACAACACATGCCAGAAGGTACCACAAGTTAAGCCTGGAGTACTCCATTTTTAGTTGCAGAAATCTTGTTGTGTATGTTGTATTGAATAAATTATGTGGCAAATAAGAGCCCATATAAATAGATATGAATATAATATTCAATAATTGGTTGGGGCACTGTTTGGCATTTCGCCAAATTTTCACGTGCGAATAGTGTTCATTGTTTATGTGGTTGTAATGAGAGAGAGAAGAGAGAGAGAGAGAGAGAGAGAGAGAGAGAGAGAGAAATTATAATATATAAATGTCTGGTCTATTGTGTGTACAATTGTAATTTAATATGGCGTTGATGGGTCTTTTCACCGTACTCTGTTTTCTTGACATAACCAATCGAAGACTATTCCACGAAACATAATCGAGTGGTTCTGTAATGAATCTTGATCCTAATTTATTGGATTAATGAAGAAAAAAAATATTTGTATTCAGTATATTGACATACATCAATTTACTATTTGCATTGTGAAATCAATGTTTTTTTTTTTTTTTTCCAGAAGATGCCAAGAATGTACAATGAGGAGCGGACCAGTTTGTACTACCAATTAATTTGACCAGGGTCCGCCTCTGGTACAATAGTACTAATGGTCCTTCAATTGTAAATCTGCAACATTTTATTGCCTTTTATTTTGAATTACTATGCAATAAGTGGAACCTGTAATTGAGCCGGGCCCCGATAGCTATATAAACCCGAAACTCGAAAAAATACGTAATACAAACCTGAACTTAGACTAATGAGACCCGACAATATATGAGTTTGAGCCTATAGTAACTACGCCAAATAGTACATAAACTTGAGACAACCCAAATATTTTTAAAGGTAAACTTCAACTTAAATGGAACCCACCATGATTAATTATACTTTTCCATACTATTATAAGAATTACAACACAAAAATACAACTTCAACGGTTATTTAAAAAGGGGAAAAAAATAGGTATTACACAACAATACAAAATTTATAGATATTCATATTACTACATGTGATATAATGGTCCCTCGTAATCTTTGAGTACGTACACAAAGCCACATACATCTTATCTTGTTCTCTGTCTCTCTCTCTCTCTAGAGTTGAGCCAAACGGCGAATATCAAAGGGATGCGCATCGGATGCCTTCTCAGCACTGTACGCTCTTCTACCGACAATAATATTAGCAGCCTCCGTAGGATGAAACGCATCCCAGAAAACATATTCATCTCTGTTTTGGCATGAATTCTGGAACGGAAGGCATGTTATTTGCCCGTTGTTCCTCCCCACCCCACAGCACCCAGCGTTCGACACTCTAAAACCTGATTAACACACACAAATTAAAACATATTAATTAGAAAAAAAAACAGGGGAGGGAAATTAAAAAGTGAAAAAAAGTATGGGGTTGCAAAAGCAATTACCGAAAGATGAGGGGTTGTCGATTAAATCCTGGAAAACGTCGTACGCGTTGAGGTAGATGAACTGTGCATCCTGTGAATTGCTGTTGAACTCATCAACTAATGATCTGAGTCTGCTGTTGAATATCTGATTCGCACCGTTGATTCTTTGCACGCAAGTAACACCGTCGGGGCTATTTTGAGCCAGTGCATTCGGGCTGCACCCGATTTGCCCTATTCCGTTTAAAGCAAACTTCCTAGCTCCATAGTTGTACAGAGTCTACATACATTCAAACAACAAACAAAAATAATCAAAAAGGGTTCAAATTATTTTTAAAAAGTCTGTAATGAGTAGAGCTATACACGTATTTGCTCGGAATATTGTCGAATGAGAACGTCTGCGTATTGTTGGGGTGTATACTGTCGGCTAGTCGAGTAGTAATTAGGCATGAAGTAGTTGTTAAGATAGTCATTACTACCAACTCCAACTGAATATATGCACTTCCTCAAGTAATCCGCAGCGGTGTTTTCGTCGCCTAGTATATCCACCACTTGTGCAACTGTGTTCTTGTAGTTGTTTATTTGTGCCGAAAAATCGATTCGAGCACCCTAATTGAAAAAAAAAGGTTAAAATGTTTTGTTTTAGTTAATGATGTTTTTAAGGAATGAGGGAGATCTTGTAATAATTAATACCAGTTGCTGTCCAGTTTCTTGTCTAATTCCAGCAGCAGCTGATGCGTAATTCACTCCCCTGAGTATTTGTTCCCCACGCGCAGTGGCGTACGGTGGAATGTAATCATCAAACCCTAGCAGCTCCGCTGTAAAAAAAAAAGGAAAGGTCAATTAATTAATTTTATTATATTTAGATCGATATTAATTTTCACAGGACTAATAATAATAATAAATGAAAATTTATCTATATACGAACTTACCGACGACATCGACGGTAGTTTTACCGTTGGAGAATCTACCGGTAGGGCCTTGAGGGAAATCAGTGCCGTACGGCAAGTAGTTCGCCTTGGCCAATGACTGAATGTTGTTGTTATTACCATTGTCAACTAATGAATCACCAAATATGAAGTAACACGGAACTTGAGGCTCCGCTGTAACACCGTCTCGTAGATTCACCGCCACAGATAAAAACACGCACAGAATCATCCATTTCTTTATAAACCCACTCCCCATTATATATATATAATGTGGTTGTGGAAGTACAGAAAATTATAAAGGTGAAGAGAATAATGCAAAAGGCAGGATCAAGAAATAAATAAGTAAAGTGATGGAGGTGGTGTGTGTTGTGTGTGATGAAATTTAAGGCATCGATGTGTAGGTATATATACATTGCAAGTTTTAAGGCAAACAAGATTGCAAATTGGAGTTGACATTTTTCTTTTTAGTTATTTTCAAGACAGGTATGGAGTTGGATTAGTTAAATGCATTGATTTCACGCGGATATAATGTGATTTACGCTACTTTCTACAGTGAAAACGGCAGTGTGGATAGGTGACCTGGTCTTCTCTCCATTTCTGTAACCATGCATTTTAGTGCAGTTTGATATGAGGTTCTGTAATTGATGCAAGTTGACTAATTTGTTTTACGATTCACACGGGAGTAAAGAGGGCCAGAAAAATACTAAAATACTAAAAGAAAAGTTTCTTGATATACAAGTTTCTTGATATTTTTAGAGTAAAAAGCAGTTTGCCCCCTAAACTAATGTCCGTTTTGCACTTTGCCCCCCAAACAAAAAAAATTTGCACGTTCTTACCTGAACTCCGTTTTTTGTTGCACGGTGCCTCAAAATTGGAATTTTCAGGTCATTTTGATCGGAATCTTGCACATGTGCTTTTCACGTGAGTTTTAAGGGGGCAAAAGAGTCTATTCCTTACATTCTTCATAGTAAATAAAAAAAAAACAAAAAAAAAAAAAAAAAAAAAAGAATGAAAGAAAATAAGGGGCTGCTGATCTGCCATTTCGGAACCAGCTTCGTCTTCATCTGTATCAACCACGGCGGCGCCAACGAGACCCCCTCTCCCCTCGTAATCGATTCCGTCTCCCGTTCGCCGATTCTCTCTCTTCAGGACACCGTCGGAGTTGGGTGGCGTCGCATCGATGCTTCCGCTGTACTTCTCCAGATCTCTAAGTTGGGTCTCTGTTCCGAGGTAACATTCTTAGCAAATTTGCAGAGTTATATCTCTCTTCATGTGAGTGGGAAAATTGGCAGCGTTTCTGGTGGAGGATGAAGTTGAGGGTTTCCACATATAGATGGAAAAGCCGCCGGATGTAGCGTCGAATTTGCAGGCAGAGCAGTGTGAGTTTCCATCGTTGGGTCTGCAGAGGAGCAGTGTAGATGGTCAAAAGAATCCAAAATTTTCATTCCAAAAAAATCCCAAATTCAATTCAATCAAAATGTATTAGATGATTCTATCTTGGCTTCGGATCTTGGATTTGTTGGAAGAGGAAATAATGATATCTCCCCCACAAGCTGAAACCTACACTCAAATCCCCCACACACATTTTCTTCTTCTCTAATTCTTCTTTGCACAAAATTTGCCACCCATCAATTTCTTTTTGCTTTCACACATTTTATAGTTTACAGTTTGAAAATTTTTCTGAGGAGCAGGTTCTCTCCAGTGGCAGATTTCCCCACCTTGTTTTTCACTTTTTTTTTTTTTTTTTAATTTACTATGAAGAATGTAAGGAATAGACTCTTTTGCCCCCTTAAAACTCACGTGAAAAGCACATGTGCAAGATTCCGATCAAAATGACCTGAAAATTCCAATTTTGAGGCACCGTGCAACAAAAAACGGAGTTCAGGTAAGAACGTGCAAATTTTTTTTGTTTGGGGGGCAAAGTGCAAAACGGACATTAGTTTAGGGGGCAAACTGCTTTTTACTCATATTTTTATGAGAGTTTTTTTACCATCGGCGCCAGGACACAAATCCGAGAATAAACTCGTTAAAACCTGTTGCATTTCTTACAAATAAGGTCAAAATAGACAGTAACCGAAATTTTAAAAAATGGTTTACTATATCAATTATAGTCGGAAAATATGCTCTTTGTTAGTGCATTGTCTAAACTGAGAAATTACTCAATCAGTTATCCGATAAAACAGTCAATAGAACCAACTGAAAAATAACTAATTATTTCAAGTATTTGAAAATAGACAAGATAAAAAGGTTATGACCTTAGTGAAAAAAAAGCTGGGCAACAGTTAATGGCATGGGAATTTAATGCGAGGTAGATAGCAAAACCAGTGCATTTAATGTTGAGACCAAGTCCTGGGAAGTGAAGTGTATACTAGAGGCTAAATGACACATTACTCCCTACATATAATTCACCTAGCTGCCTGCCGACAAGCATCGAACGTATGCACAAATCAAACTACTCCCCCCTGTCTAAAATCTTGTGATTATGATTCAAGAAAATGTAAATGTTCTTATTATTAACTACTGATGAGTGCTGAATTAACAGTAATGTAAAAGGAAAGACGGGAGAAGTTTTTTCTTAATTACGGGTATTAAAATTGTAAAGTGGTGCCAGCCTAAAATGTTTAAGCGGAAAACAGGCACATGGATATCGAGAGAAAAGATAAGATAATTAATGAAATTGACTAAGATAGCATTCATTGCACATGTAAGTATAGCTAGGCTTTAGTTGTGCTGTTTCAATTAAATCAGGCAGTTGAAGGAAAAACAGCAGTAAGCACATACTTGAAACGGGGTCTACTTGAGAAAATGAACTTCGTCTTTCCACCACTTGATCTCTGAGAATGCAGGGCCTCCATTGTAAAGAACCCTCGAGCCCAAATGTCAAAGCTTTGTATGGACCACACCGACATTAGATCTGGGATCCAACGCAGATCTGAAATGAGTTCAAATCAGATTTTCCACTAATTAACTTCAAATGTGATTACTTCAGAAAACCAGTGAAAAATAATTCCGTGCACAAGGAACAAGCTATATCTTTCTTAATTTTCCCGGAGTTTGAACTTTAAGTCTGCTAACCAAATTCATCTATATCGGAGAAGTCTACATTCTCAACAGAAAGAAAACGTCGATAACATCTAAAAAGATCAAATGACAGATGTTATTATATGACCATAAGGCTGTTTACTAAGACAAATCATTAAGAGTTACAAGCCGGTAGATCAAAAGGAAAACAAATACAAGATTTGTACGAACAGAAACAAGTTACAATCGAACTTCCCACCCTTGTGGAATAGTTTAGGCCTAGAGCCGTGAATAATCACGGTTCTCAAACAGGCATCAGTGTACAACAAAAATACATACTTCACAAATAGAACGGGATCAACTATCAAAAATGTTGACAAACACCAAAATAGAACCCGCCTTCCAGGGACGAGAACTTTACGACAGGCGAACTCGGAAAATAACTGTTAACACCTTGCACATAGACCACATTTTCAAAAAAAAATCCCAGAAGCTTTTCAGGACTTCAACCTCTGAAAATATCAGACGCAGCCCGTTCTTCCAAGCAACAAGGGCTTTCAGACAAGTGTACTTCAGTTCAGTCGATCAACCATACTTTGATGTCAAATAGTCCGTCACCTAGCAACACTGCCAAACCACCGACCCATATATGATAATATTACATTACTGCTACATCCATAGTCAGCAGATTAAACTTTTCGCATGCAGCGTAAATAAATAAATAAATGCCATCCAACGAAAAAACAGGTATGTATCGTTCAGAGGTCAGTGTTGGGAGCAGCTGAGGAGGCATATTGGAGAGCAATGTCCTTGAAAACTTGTAGCAAACCCTTGAGGTCATCAGAACCCAACTCGAGACAATCCTTCAGCAAACCACCCTCCATAACTTCCTTCTGCAGCGTCTCCACCAGTTCCCGCAGTGGCCCCTGCCCATTTCAACCAACATAAGACAATTAGTTCATAACTTTTACGCATACAAACAACAATTTTTCACCAATATAAATAAAATTGAAAAACCAACATATTTGTTCTCTTTCTCATTGTCAGTGACAAATTAATTTAAATGATTATAATTAACAAGTAATCAAGTAAATGTCTTTTTGTAATTTAATCACGGACAAACACCCATGTCCGATCATCCGATTGTAGCAAACAATTAATAGCAAAATAGAAACAAATTGAAAAAAAACGAACAAAAAATTCGTACGTACAGATTGACCGGAAAACTTCGAGCAATCGAGAGAAGAGGGATTTCGAAACCCTAAGGGCATTTTTGTAATTCCGACTGACCCAAGCCAACCTCTCCGCATCCGAGTTGATGCGATTCAACTCACTCAAAGACCCTAACAACTCATTCAGATCCGACAGTAGGCCGCCTAGGGTTCCAAACGACATCGTGTCTCTCCACGCGTAATTCTTCACATAATCCCATCCAACATTCAAAGCGAACTTGTAGAACCCCACCCCCAGCCCCCGCTCGAGATTACGGGCCAACGCTCTCGCCCTCGCCGCCCCCTCATAATCGCCGCGGGCGGATCGGAGTGTGGCGACGCGGGAAGTGAGGGAGTGGGAGAGGGAAAATAGGGTGTGGTAGTTGGATAAGAGGAAGGAATTAGTCAGCGTAGAAGATAACACGAGCAGAGAGAGAAAAAGAAACGATTTCTTCGTCGTCGCCGCCATCAGGTTTACCGGAGCTGCGGCGGCGGCGGCAGGGTTTTCTCGACTAGTATTTCACGTTAGAGTCGGCCCAAATTTAAACGTTAATTGCCGGCCCGTTTAAACTAATGGGTTTAATAAAAGCCCAACATTAATCAAATATATCAAATGAGCCCAGCAAAAAAAAGAATCACGTTATTTGGTCCTAATTCAAATTAGGGTTAATATGCTATGAGCCCTTCAAACAAAACATAATTTGAACTAAATGACAAGTTTAAATCCATTTTTTTAATTATATCCATAATTTGAGATAATATATGGCTCACATCCCTATAAAAAAATTAATCCCTATCTTACCCTTATACCCTAAATCTTATAAACTAATTATTTACGTTTCTCCGTCAGATCTATTCTTCTTCTTCTTCTCTTCTTCTGCTTCTCTCTTTGTCTCGTTTTCTCTGGCTCTCTTTCACTCAATTTCACGTTCTCTCTCTCGCACCACTCTGTGATTGAAGAAGGTGGTGGCTATGGCGACGACTATGGCGGTGGAGGCGGCGACATGGAAAAGGTAGTTATCAAGGTAAGTAAGCGACGATGATGGGATGAGCCGTTGTGGTCGGCGACGCTCGAAGTTCGAGGGTGATGCTGGCCAGCGGCGGTGCTCGGAGTTCGAGAATGGTGTTGATGGTCCGGTGATGTTGGGCGAAGGTGATGGCGGCGTGGGTGGGGTGGGTGGTATCCTTAGTGGCGTGGATGGGGGTGGGTGGTCTTTGGCGTCACGGATCTAGGGTTTGGTGGGTGGATCTAGGGTTTGGTGGGATGGATCTAAGATTTTTCGATTTGATGTCTATGGGTTACTATGGGTGTGTGACGGCTAGGGTTAAAAGGAAATGCTAGGGTTTCAAGAATATGACATCGGAGATGTCTATGGATTACTACGGGTTACTATGGATTACTACAGTTTCCTATGGGTGTCTATACATAACTTAGACCTATGGATTACTACAGTTTCCTATGGGTGTCTATACATAACTTAGACCGATTTTTTTTTTTAAATTCATAATTTTTAATATTACGTAGAAAAGAATGGAAAAAATAAATTCCTAAAATACTGAAAAAAAATACGAAAAATGAATAATAAAATAAAAAAGAGTAATATGTTCAACGTAAAAAAAATGTTCGATGCAAAATGAAATGTTAAATGTATAATAAAAAATGATAAACGCAGTTTAAATATTACTTAATGCAAATTTCATATTTTGTGTGTGGAGGGCATTTTTGGGATAAAATTTATAAAGGATGTGAAACAAATGTTTTGTTAGACTTGTCATTTAGTTCTAATAAGTTTTGTCACCAGGGACCTATATCTTAAGGCCCCTTGAAATTATGGCCGTTAGAGTAAGGCTGTGTTTGGCCTTACCTAAACAGACTTATTGAAATAAGGAAACTAGTATTAAATTGAATACAACAAATTATTATTTTAATAATTTTTCCAATTCGAGAGAGACGAGACGCGCGCGCACGCACAACACACCTGTGGCAGAGAGGCAGAAATCTCTGCATGGCGGAATAGTGAGAGAGAAAAAGCTGTGTGGCATCACAATCCCAAAGATCCAGTAATCAGAAGTAACAACCACTTTCTCTCTCTACATTACTCCCGTGCTTCTCTCTCTATATATGGTCGGATTAAATCTAAAGATTTTTTTTTCTCTCTCTACATTTGGCCACATCCTCCAAAAATATCCTCTGTAGTTTTAAGTTTTGCCAACTCGCACTTGTCTTCTCTATGTGGAGCATCGTTTCCAATTCCGATTCTAATTCCTGCCGATTCTGAGTAGAGAAGATGGAATCGCCTCAGGGGAATAGCAGTTCTGACGACAATTTGGTGAGCCCGCGTAACCCTTGATTTAATTTTTCTCCGCAATTTAGTACCTTCTCGAATTTTCTGATTTTTTTTTCCTTTGAATCTACGAAATTTGTCGAATTAGAGTTTTTAATTTGCCCGCGTTTTCGTTTGTGAATTGAAGAACGAAAACTGTCTAGTAACAGTTACGATTGTGGTGTTTGGGTAAATATAGTGATTTTTCTTGAGTTCGAAACAATTGATTGATCCGATTCACATAGTTTGATACTCACTCACCTCAGTGTTGGGATTATGAGAATTATTGGTTACCGATTTTGTTGCAGGATGAATTACTAATCACTCACACGCCGGATAAGAAATCCGACTTCACTTCATCTATCCCCACAAGTAGACTTGAAAGGCTTTTAAGAGACAGAGAGTTAAGAAAGTCTAACAAGTTCTCTTCTTTTAACGAAGAATTACGAGACAGTAATGGCGATTTGGACGCAAATGAGCCGTACCTATCTGATGGTGAGAGAGTATATAAAGAGGAAGATTTTGTTGAAGGGAGTACTCCGGTAAGACAGAGGTTACTGGTTGTGGCGAATCGACTTCCTGTTTCTGCAATTAGGAAAGGTGAAGACTCATGGACTCTTGATGTCAGTGTAGGAGGCCTAGTTAGTGCTCTTTTGGGTAAGAAGTAAGAACTATTTATTGTCTATGCTTTACTGGTTCTACAGATTGTCTATTCTTGATCCATTTAATTATATCCTCTTACAGGTATCAATGAGTTTGAAGCTAGGTGGATAGGGTGGGCTGGTGTAAATGTTCCCGACGAAGTCGGACAGAGGTCACTAACCAAAGCTCTAGCTGAAAAGGTCTGTGTACTTTGTTTCATATGGAAGTGTTGTTCATTTATTTGAAGGATTAACTCATGTCTGAAACTTATTGTTCTACAAAATGCAGAGGTGCATCCCTGTGTTTCTTGATGAAGAGATTGTTCACCAATACTACAATGGCTACTGTAACAACATATTATGGCCACTTTTCCACTATCTTGGGCTTCCACAAGAAGACCGCCTTGCCACCACGCGAAGCTTTCAGTCTCAGTTTGCTGCCTACAAGATAGCAAACCAGATGTTTGCTGATGTCGTGAACGAGCATTACAGGGAGGGTGATGTTGTTTGGTGCCATGATTATCATCTGATGTTTCTACCGAAATGTCTTAAAGAGCATAACAGCAAAATGAAAGTCGGTTGGTTTCTCCACACACCTTTCCCCTCCTCTGAAATTCATCGCACGTTGCCGTCAAGATCGGAGCTTTTGAGATCTGTTCTTGCTGCTGATTTGGTTGGGTGGGTCCTTTGACTAATGAATTATAAAATACAAAGAAAAAAGATCAATATCTGACATACATTGTTCTGATATTTGCTCCTAGATTCCATACCTATGATTATGCGAGACATTTCGTAAGTGCCTGCACTCGTATTCTGGGACTCGAAGGCACACCTGATGGTGTGGAAGATCAAGGAAAACTGACTCGTGTGGCTGCGGTATAGGCATATTGAAATACCAGAACTTTGTTTCTTACACTTCATATCCAAAACATAATTTCATTTGTACATTTCGTGGTAGTGTTAAGACTAACTTTATTAGTACTTCTGAATTACAGTTCCCCATTGGTATAGATTCTGATCGATTCGTTCGAGCTCTTGAGCTGCCACAAGTAAAGGATCACATCAAAGAATTGGAAGAGAGATTTGCAGGGAGAAAGGTAAATATTGTTTATAAAGGAACTTTAGTCCCTAATGTATATTTGGCATTCTTAGTGTGTTATGTGGGATTTCATTTTTGAACTTGTACAATAATCTAATGAAATAAATTCAATGTTTTTGTTCGATCTTTGGACTATGTATGTTACTGGTCAACGCAGATTCTTAGTGACTAATCCTGCTTGTCTGGATATGAACAGGTAATGCTAGGGGTTGACCGTCTTGACATGATCAAGGGAATACCCCAAAAGATTTTGGCATTTGAAAAGTTCCTTGAAGAAAATCCGATTTGGTGTGACAAGGTAGTGCTAGTACAAATTGCTGTACCAACAAGGACAGATGTTCCCGAGTGTATGTAACCTTGTCCTCTTGCTTAAATCTGATTGAATTCAAGAATCTCATAGTTTCCTTTTTTATATCCTCCTTCCCCTCCAAAGTCCAAAAATATATGTAGATATTCTATTGCTTATAAAATATTCTTTATCTGGCAGACCAAAAGCTGTCATCTCAAGTTCATGAGATTGTTGGAAGAATAAATGGAAGATTTGGAAGCCTTACATCCGTTCCGATACATCATTTGGTGAGAATTGTGTGCCTTAAAAGTAAACTGATAAACTTACAGTTGCTTAGGAATCATCATCAAATTATGAAGTACATTTTGCTTCTCTTTTTGAAGAAATTGATTCCATGCTTATACTGCAATTTATTCTTCTATTACAGGACAGATCTCTTGATTTCCACGCATTATGTGCACTATATGCTGTCACTGGTAAGCATTTTCTTACTGTTCGGATCTGATTTACCCCTCTGATTGCTTGGTGTAGCAAGTAACCCATGTGATCAATCGGACAAGAACATAACTTTAAATGAAATAAGTATTTGCATAAATTACAACCTTTTATGTGCATATTACCTTCATCGCATGTTTTTATCTCATTATACTTGTTACACTGTAAATATTTCCACCATTATACTGTATGTTGAACTTTTCCTTTTAGATGTTGCCTTGGTTACATCTTTAAGAGATGGGATGAATCTTGTGAGCTATGAATTTGTGGCCTGCCAAGCTGTAAAGAAAGGCGTCCTCATTCTGAGTGAGGTAACAATGTTTAATCTGCTCTCTTACAAGTAGTTTGACTTCAATTCATTCTAGGGATAACAGATGATTAATTATGCTTCAGTTGAAATCAATCTTATGATGTTATATTTTCAGTTTGCTGGGGCTGCACAGTCTCTTGGTGCTGGAGCAATCTTAGTAAACCCTTGGAATGTTACAGAAGTTGCTGCATCAATTGGTTATGCTCTGACTATGCCACCCGATGAAAGAGAAAAGCGACATCGCCATAATTTCACCCATATTACTACTCACACTTCCCAAGAATGGGCCGAGACTTTTGTAAGGTGATCGATCTTGCATCACTTTTTAATCTTTTATAATTATTCGCACAGCTAAAGTATTTTTCTGAACCTAGTTTTTTTTTTTCATTTTCCTGTTTATCTGTCAGTGAGCTTAATGATACAGTTGTCGAAGCACAGCTAAGGACTCGGCAAATTCCACCTTTACTTCCTACAGGAGAGGCCGTTGACCATTACATGTGCTCAAATAACCGCTTACTCATTCTGGTATATTCATGTTCTTCGTCTCCGAAACTAAGCCCTTTTTTATTTCTTTTTTGGTTTTCATTATGAACTAATGGAAACTTAATTGCAGGGTTTTAACGCAACACTAACAGAACCTGTCGACACACAAGGAAGAAGGATTGATCAGTTCAAAGAAATGGAGCTGAACTTACATCCGGATTTGAAAGAGCCCTTGAAAAAACTATGCGATGACCCAAAGACCACAGTGATTGTTCTTAGTGGAAGTGACAGAAATGTCCTTGACGAGGTTTCCTGCTTTCACATAAGATCCACTTTTCCCATCAGCGCATTCTCTTCTTGTTGACTGATGTGTTGTGCAGAATTTTGGAGAATATAATTTGTGGTTAGCAGCAGAACATGGTATGTTCCTGCGCCTCACCTCGGGAGATTGGATGACCACTATGCCAGAAAACCTAAACATGGACTGGGTTGACAGCGTCAAGGTACAAATACAATACATACCCCCGACATATTAACATCAAATTTATTTCATAAAATCATAGTCAGAGCAACTTTCAATTTTTTTTTAAATTTTTTTTGTTTAGCATGTTTTTGAGTACTTCACTGAGAGGACCCCACGTTCGCATTTCGAGCTTCGGGAGACTTCACTTGTATGGAATTATAAGTATGCAGGTGAATTATTATGATTTTTTTTTTGCAATTTCCTTTTTCCCAATCCATTATACAAAGTACTATACTATGTTTAGTTTTAAATCTTATTCTTTACATATTTTGCTCAGATGTTGAATTTGGGAAGCTTCAGTCGAAGGATCTGCTACAGCACCTATGGACAGGCCCGATTTCGAATGCTTCTGTAGATGTCGTTCAAGGAGCGAGATCTGTTGAGGTTCGAGCAGTTGGAGTAACCAAAGTGAGTTTACTTATGGTCTATAAAATATTTGTTGCAATTCTTTCCTTGCTTAAAAAACACTACCAAATTTTTGCAGGGTGCTGCAATCGATAGGATTCTAGGGGAAATAGTTCATTACAATGCCGTCAAAACTCCAATCGACTACGTTTTGTGTATCGGCCATTTCCTACCAAAGGTTCGTCATTTCTAGTAGTTTTTTTCCCCCTTAATGTCTTAGTATCTTAACAAGTGGAGAAAAAAATGTTAACAGGATGAAGATATTTATACATTTTTCGAGCCAGAGCTTCCAGTGGGGCCCCCACCTACTACGAGGGGTAAAATAGCCAATTCACTCAACAGATTTACTCCGAATTCGCCTGGGATGTCGGCTTTCTGCCGCAAAGCGCCACCTGTACCTTTACCGGGGCCCGATAAGAGAGCGAATAGTTTCTTGGGAAACGGGAATTGGTGGTCTAGGATGAGGGAAAAGATGACTGTGCATGAAGGGTCTTCGGTTCTTGATCTCAAAGGTGAGAATTACTTCTCGTGTGCTGTAGGGAGAAAACGGTCAAATGCGAGGTATCTTTTGGGATCTTCGGCTGAAGTAGTCTCTTTGCTGAAGGAGCTAGCAGATTGTCAGCTGTGAGATTGTTGTCTAATTTTATTTTTCTTGTTAGTTTTTATTTATTTAAATTTTGGTTATGAGGTAAAAAGTAAACAGGGGAGGGGCCAAGGTAATGATCTCACCACCTCCAATAATGCAGTAGTTTTTTGCTTAAGGTTTTTGATAGTTGGTGAGTTAATAATTTTATGTTCTGAAAAATTATTGTTATAACATCATATGCGATTGGAATTCGGCATCGGGGCCGGACTCCCGTATTTTTAGTTTATCAGACCTATATAGACCAAAGGGTCGCAACCCGCAAAATGGGCCACAAGAGTCGGAAATTCACCACATTGGCTGTAGGAAGTCAAGTGGGTCAAGAGCTCGTCGAGATGAGACGCGGTAGGTGACGAACTGATCCTATGACTGTTAGACGATACAATCTAAGCTTTGATAGAGAGAGGCAATAGGAGAATCGAGAACGACCACTTAAGTCGGTACTTTTCGTTGACTTTGTCGCACCCACGATTATAATTATGAGTTTGACATTTATTTATATATTTATAGTAAACTCAGTGTATCTGAAGTAGTGATTATTGGCCATAAAGAGAAACATCAAAACATAGCAGCATGGATTTCATGGTGGTATTTAAGCCGTGTTTGGGTCACTGTTTTGATAAATATATATACGGTCATCATCGTGATCAAATGGTCCCTTAATTCACGCATGCTAATTATTTGGTAATAAAAATTACAAAAATCATTTCTATCAATCTACGGAACTACATATGACTATGATTTTATCAGACTTTGAAAAAAAGATGATAAAGAAAGTTGACATATTGTTTCAATGTAAGAAAGAAATTAATAATAGATGATATTTTTTATGAATAATGGCGCACGCCTTTAGAATATGAAATAAGGGTGGTCCTTTATTTATTTATTTTATTTAAATTTAATCTCAGTCACTTACCATACTTAGTCGGAGTGGCCTCCATTTTCATTAGCCACCCCTACCTCTCTCTAATTCAACTACTTGTCCCAACTACCACTAATATTTCAGTTTCACAATATATATAATTTTTTTTATTTTTTATTTTATTTTTTTGCATTTACATTTATTTTTTATTTTCACGAGTATCTGTATTATAACCTAGGACTTGAGAAGTATCTCATAAATTTATTTGGGAATGAGAATATCCTTATCTTCAAATAGCCTTTTTTTTTTTCCTTGCAGAACTTTTTCACAAGCATCAAACGAATCTTGAAAATAATAGTTTATTTAAAAAATATGCAGATTTTTTTTGAAGAATTTTTTTTTTTAATTATGTAGATTTAAAAAGCTATAATTAAGGGGTTGAAAAGCAATTCAATGGAGGAAAGTTCATCAATTATAATATAAGTTAATATATATATATATATATATATATATATATATATATATATATATATATATATATATATATATATATATATATCCTAGTAACAACTAACAAACACCACATCATTAGGGAGAATATATGTATATCTATAGTCAAGTACTTTTCAAACGTAATATTTGTTTTATTCCTTAACTTTTTTGGTAACTGAAGATAAAAGATTCCATTTGTTGGAAGTTACATAATCTTTGGGCTTTGAGTGAAACTAAACTTTTTTCTAGGTCAAAATGGATTCACTTATCTACTAATCAAAGAACACCATTCAAAATAAATATAAATAAATAAATAAACGATTCAAACAAAGAACATATATATCCCTATAAATATTCAGCGTATCAGCTCAATATTCCATAGCTTTAACGATGGAGAATTTTCATTTATCCATTTCCCTGGTTTTGCTTCTTCTTCTTCCTCCTCTTCTGCAGGTTTCATGCACTGAGAAACAGGTTCGCTTCTTTTCTTTTTCTTTTTTTCTTTTTTTGAATAAAACTTTCTACATATCTGAAAATGTATATGTATATATTGTTGATCTGACAGGTGTATATAGTGTACTTTGGAGAACACAGTGGAGACAAAACATTGCAAGAAATCGAAGAAAGCCATCACTCGTATCTCTTCTCCGTAAAGGAAACCGAAAATGATGCAATATCTTCTCTTGTTTACAGTTACAAGCACACCATCAATGGCTTCGCCGCTCTTCTCACTCCAATGGAAGCTTCCAAACTATCCGGTACGGTCAGTTTTTGTGTGTGTTTGTCTGAAAAGATATATATTGTGTATGTATTTATATGTTTGACAATTGAATATAATTTGAATTTGAACAGATATGGAGGAAGTGGTGTCTGTGTTTCGGAGCCACCCGAGAAAGTACTCACTGCACACAACAAGATCATGGGAATTTGCTGGTTTACAATACGAGGCAACAAAAATGAACAAGGAAGATTTATTACTTAAATCCAGATATGGCAAAGATGTTATTATTGGCATCTTAGACAATGGTATATATATATATATATATTATTTCACCATATATGTGTGTGTGTTGTGTGTGCATGACTGAGATTTGTTGATGGATGGAACAGGTGTGTGGCCGGAGTCGAAAAGCTTCGGGGACGAAGGGGTGGGCCCCATACCGAAAACATGGAAAGGAACTTGCCTATCTGGTGATGCATTCAACTCTTCACATTGTAATAAGTGAGTCTATATATATACATATATGATTTTTATATCCACCCTTAATTCAGTTAATGAAACTATTTGAATCACCATTACTTTTTTGCAATTTCATGGATACAGTTGTTATTTATCTATCTTTTTTATGGAATAAACTTCCAGGTATGTTTTTATTTATTTATTTTTTGGGAAAAAAAACAGCAAAAAAAAAAAGAAAAGAAAAAAAAGAAGCATCAATTGGCCATGCATACTGTCCTACATCGCATGTCGTGACATGCATCACTTAGTTGGCTTAATTTGCTGTTTCGATTATTTCCGATGTTGTCTATTTCGATCAAACAACAAATTTATTTATTATTTTTTGTCATTTACTATTTTCCAAATGCCATCTTGTGAACTTGTCTGACCAAACATTATATTGGCCCGTCCTTTTCATCCATATATCAACTCCCTCTGCCTAGTAACAAATTAACAATACTAGTTGGTCAAAATTCAAAAAGAAAAATTGGTCAATTATTCTAAATACTAGGAATTTTACATTTGATTTTTTTTTTCTAAATAAGATGATGAAAATCCAAAATAGAGACTGAAATCAACCGCAAATTAAAATTTCAACTGAATTTGAATCTCGTGACGTTTTTTGGCAGGAAAATAATTGGGGCCCGATATTACATAAAGGGCTACGAAGCCTACTACGGCCCACTAAACAGAACGCTCGATTTTCTCTCACCTCGCGACAAAGACGGACACGGGACCCACACATCGTCCACCGCCGCCGGCCGCCGGGTCAACAATGTCTCCGCCCTGGGCGGCTTCGCCTCAGGCACCGCCTCCGGCGGCGCACCCCTGGCTCGCCTGGCCATCTACAAAGTGTGCTGGGCCGTACCGGGCCACGGCAAAGAAGACGGCAACACCTGCTTCGAGGCGGACATGCTCGCCGCCATTGACGACGCCATTTCCGACGGTGTTGATGTACTGAGCATTTCGATCGGAACAAAAGACCCCACGCCGTTCAATCAGGACGGAATCGCAATCGGCTCTCTTCACGCCGTCAAGAAAAACATCGTCGTCGCATGCAGCGCCGGAAATGCCGGACCCACCCCATCCACCTTGTCCAATCCAGCTCCGTGGATTATCACGGTCGGAGCGAGCAGCGTCGACCGGAAATTTTCAGCACCGGTCGTGCTCGGGAATGGCATCAAACTCGCGGTAAATGTTTTAAACTACTTACATAATCAATTAGTTAAAAAAGGAAAATTAAAAAAAAAAATTAATGAATGTGTTTTGCAGGGGCAAACAGTAACTCCATATAAACTGGAAAACAGATTGTACCCGTTAGTCTACGCGGGTCAAGTAATCAACCCTGACGTGCAGAAAAACTTATCCGGGTTCTTTCCTCTTTCCTCCATTTTCATCTCCCATTCTTGGAAGTAAATTAATCATGACATTATTACATAATTCTGAAATATGCAGACAATGTTTACCTGGTTCGCTTTCACCATCGAAAGCAAAAGGAAAAATCGTGTTGTGTTTGAGAGGGAATGGAACTCGAGTCGGTAAAGGCATGGAGGTGAAAAGAGCGGGAGGAATCGGTTTCATATTAGGAAACAGTGAAGCAAACGGAGATGAATTAGCAGCAGATGCGCATCTTCTTCCGGCCACAGCTGTCAATCATGTAAACGCTCTCGAAATTCTCAAATACATCAATTCTACACGAGCACCAAAAGCGTATATCGAACCAGCAAAGACGGTACTAGACACCAAACCAGCTCCTTTCATGGCTGCTTTCTCCAGCAGAGGCCCCAGCACTGTTTCACCCGATATTCTAAAGGTATATTTGATTACTCTTTTATTTCGTTCCTCCATTTTCTTGACATATATGTTACACACGTTTCTGCTCAACAGCCCGATATCACAGCCCCTGGAATAAATATACTAGCAGCATGGAGCGAAGCATCTTCTCCGACAAAGTTGGCAGCAGATAATCGGATCGTGAAATATAATATTCTATCGGGAACTTCAATGTCATGCCCACATATAGGCGGTGCATCTGCTCTTATCAAAGCCATACACCCCACTTGGAGCAGTGCCGCCATAAGATCTGCTCTTGTCACCTCCGGTACATACATATATATATTTCATGTACCCTCGATTATGACTTAATCAATCACGTATAATCAAATGTTTGTTTTTCTTGAATTGCAGCTGGACTGACTAACAACGAGGGTAATCCTATCAGCGATGCATCCGGCAATCCAGCGGACCCGTTCCAATTCGGGTCGGGTCATTTCAGGCCCACGAAAGCAGCGGATCCTGGGCTCGTGTACGATGCTTCTTACAAAGACTATCTTCTCTTCTTATGCGGCAACGGAATCAAGAATCTTGATTCTTCATTCAAATGCCCGAAGAAGTCACCATCTATGGGCGATCTCAATTACCCATCTCTGGCAATACCGAAACTCAACGGCACATATACAACGGTGAGAACAGTTACGAATGTGGGCGGAGGCAAGAGTGTGTATTTTGTGAGCGTAAAACCTCCACCTGGAATCTCGGTGAAAATATCGCCTCCTATAATATACTTCAGCCGTGCTGGACAGAAGAGAAGTTTCACCATCACCGTAAAAATAGAGACAAGCACCGTTGAGAAAGATAAGTATGTGTTTGGATGGTATACATGGTTCGACGGAATCCACAATGTTCGAAGCCCCATCGCTGTTTCAGTAGCATAATCATTTTTTTCTGTGTATTGATAAACAGATTTACTCTATATACATTAGCTCACAATAAAAAAGAAAAAATAAATAAAAGAAAAGGGGATGTTGAGTATGCAATTTGGATACAACAATTGATCATTGGATGAAACAGTAACAAAACCAAAATTTTGGAGCCTATTCAGTATTCACCATAACCGTAGTTTCGCGATATTGAATTCATAATCAAGGTCTCAAAATTACCCTTTTTGCCCCCATGAAGTGGATGTATTTCCATTCAATTTGGTATTTCTTCTTCCTCAGCACTTATCCTCTTGACCTACCACACCTCAAAAAGGCTCGTGCAACTCTTCTAATTCACCTCCATTTCAGCAAAATACCTGATAATTTATAAGCAGAGAATAAATTCAGCACCAGATTCATCAAGGAAGAAAAAAGAAAAAGTTGCCGCAAATTGGGGAAGCAATCACAACATTGTAAATTACACTAGTTATTGCTTTCTTCGTAGTAACCACTGACCTCCGATGCGACGAACGTTTCTACACTGTGACTGTGTGTTTGTGTGTGTGAGAGAGAGAGAGGAGAAGAGAGAGAGAGTAAATGAAACACAAATATCGAAGGGAACTACTACTCAGCATTGAGTGGGATTTTGGGCTTGGGCAACTCTACAAACCTATAACATCAAAGAATGAATGGCCCAATAAAGGATAAGCCCATTAATGTTAATTGCAGATTAACTAGTTTCTAATTAGTATTACTGTTGTTATAATATTTAGGGTAAATTACAACCACCCCTGAGGTATGGTCAAATTACCCAAAACCCCCTCATGTTTGGGTAATTACAATCACCCCTCAACTATATATATTTTTACACGTTCACCCTTGCGGTTTCAGATTTAGTGGAATCTTCGAGATTATATGGAATATTATCACTTTTGTACCATTTTTATCACATTCAAACATTACATTTTGAAACGAGATGATCATAATATGTGTTTTTTAACTTGTATATATCAGATTATGGTGCATCAAAAACTGTATTTTTACACAAAACGAGTACAAACTAGAGCACATTCCACGAAATCTAGATGATTATGTTGAATTTGACAGCATAACGGTGGAGTTGTAAGAAAAAAATCATAGTTCAAGGAGTAGATGTAATTATCCAAACAAGAGGGATTTTTTCGTAAATTAACCATACATCAGGGGTGATTGTAATTTACCCTAATATTTATATAATTTGATATAATTAATTGAACTAGCAAATAACAAAATTTATGAACCAAAGGCCAGTTTGATCATTTCATTGTGCATCATACTATATAGTCAACGACTACATAATCAAATATTAAAATTGCGTGTAATTCGACGAAAATTGTGATGAACGGGTAGAGAACAAAATATGGTACTACGAAAGGCTATAAGAAAAAAAAAATATATATATACATATGGATAAGGAAAATGCACCGGCTTTCACAATCAAGGGCATCATCAAGTATTACTTGAAAAATTCCATAACACGAGTGCATTGACTTCGATAAATAGTTATTTAAAATACGCTATTATTTATTTATTTATTATTATTAAATAGTCATACAACATGTTCGATCAACTAGAGGGAGAGAGAGAGAAGAACAATTGATATGCTCGATTCTAGTTCAGTTCACACCACAAGAAGTATTGTTGAGATTATTGTGTCACGTATGGTTAGTTTGGTGTAGTTTACATCTCTTGTACAGATTACGAGTTGCACGAGAGCTAAGTTTATCCAATACAGTACTTACTTCAAACATCCTTCGGCCAATTCCTCCATACATCATATTTGTAGTTTTTAAAATAGAAGTCATTAGCCATTTCTAATAAGCTACTGAATTATATTATTCCTCCCCCCGTTGTCAACGAAGAAATGGTTTTAATTAACTCTTAACGACTAACATACATTATTTAGTGCACGCAAACATTAAGCATTATATTGTTTGGGACATATCCTTTCTTGATTCCCTGCTTGTACGTGTATATATAAACTGCGAGCAATGAGCCGATGAAATATAATTAGCAGAGAAACAGCTTAATTAATGAGGATGAAAAATCAGTTACTAACCGTTGTTTTTTGCGCACTTGCTCTACTTGTCAACATTATTAATGTCTCATCAACCTCATCTGAACTACCAAAGGTTTTACATCTCATCGATATCTTCAATAATTTTATGCGTACGATCTTGTCCGTATTTATGATCGATCGAAATATGTTTGTGTGTGTGTGTGTGTGTGTGTGTGTGTGTGTGTTATATAGGTGTACATAGTTTACCTGGGAGAGCATGTTGGAGACAAAACATTCCAAGAAATCGAAGACGCTCACCACTCGTATTTGCACTCCGTCAAGGGATCGAGAGAGGAAGCCAAAGCCTGCGTTGTTTACAGCTACAAAAACGTCATTAATGGCTTCTCCGCCCTGCTCACCCCTGATGAAGCTCATAAAATATCAAGTAATAGCCTCATAAATATAATTGAATAGAACAAATAATATATTTATGCATGCATGCATAAATATATTATTTTACATAATTAATTGATTAGAGATTTGCTTGCTTAAATTGTTGGACAGAGATGGATGGTGTGATTTCAGTGTTTCATAGCGACCCCAAAAAAACGAGGCCTCACACGACAAGATCATGGGATTTCATTAACTTACTCGAAGCTAAATGGGATCCCACACGATCCAACACCAGAGATAAACTGTTGACTCAAGCTGACTACGGCCAGAATGTCGTTGTCGGGGTAATCGACACCGGTAAATATATTAAATTTAAGACACATTTATTCAATATTTTATGGAAAAATAATTTTATGTAGTATCAGTCCCTGATTAAATTAATAATTAATACTGTGTCATCTGATTGAAACTTCCACGTATATTCATTATTCAGGCGTATGGCCGGAGTCTGAGAGTTTCAACGATGTGGGAATGGGACCTATTCCAACAACCTGGAATGGGTTTTGCCAGACCGGTGTTGGTTTTGATTCTTCTCATTGTAATAGGTACTGATAATTTCATTTTTTTACCAAGAAAGAGAGAATTCAAATTAGATCATTTGGTAATTAATTAATCAATTAAACAGGAAACTGGTGGGGGCCCGTTACTATTTGAGGGCTTACGAGGCAAATTTCGGTCCACTCGATCCCACAATCGACTTCCGATCAGCAAGGGACTCCGTCGGCCACGGGACCCACACGTCGTCCACCGTCGGCGGCCGGAGTGTCCCGAACGCCGCCGCAATTGGCGGCTTCGGCATAGGAAACGCCACCGGAGGGGCCCCACTGGTGCGCCTGGCCATGTACAAAGTGTGCTGGAATATTCCGGCGGATCTGGGAGGAGGGAACACGTGCGCGGATGCTGACGTGATAGCGGCTTTCGATGATGCAATCGCTGATGGAGTTGACATCATCAGTGTCTCCCTTGGTTCGGAAACCCCTACGCCCTATGTCGAAGACGGCACTGCCATTGGAGCATTGAATGCAGTGAAAAGGGATATTGTGGTGGTTTGCAGCGCCGGCAATTCGGGGCCCGACCCGTTTACCGTGACGAACATCGCCCCGTGGATCATCACTGTTGGAGCGAGTAGCATCGATCGCGTTTTTTCGTCGCCCGTCCTTCTTGGAAACGGCGTGGTAGCGGAGGTTCGTCCGGTTAAACCTCTATAAATTGATATAATTACGAATAGCAAAAATTTATTAATTTAGCGGAATATTACATTATCGAGATTCTAATGTATTTATAACTAACCCTAATGAATAGAAATATTGAATGATTCAAAATCTTGCGTATACAAACAGGGACAATCAATTACTCCATTCGTGAAGGGAACGTACCCGCTTGTTTATGCAGCGGATGTAGAAATTCCAGGCACCACCACAGCTGACACATTTGGGTTTGAACTCATCTCTTTTCATCGGAAAAAAAAACAAGAAGAAAAAAATAGACCGTAATTACTTTTCGAGTAATGGAAAATTAACCAGTGGAGATGTGTTTTTCATTTCACAGACTATGCCTTCCTGGGACACTTTCGCCGGCTCTGGTAGCAGGAAAAGCAGTATTCTGCTGGAAAGGGGACACTGTCTCAGCATTAGAAGTGCAAAGAGCTGGCGGCGTAGCTGCGGTGCTCGGAAACCCAAAAGAAGGAGTAGGCGTCTCCCAAACGCCTTATGTGATTCCGGCAAGTGTTGTTCTTTCCGATCAGAAACTGAAAATTTACAACTACATCCGATCTACAGCAACACCGACGGCAACCTTGACTCCGGCGAGAACATTGATAGGCGGCTCCAGCCCAACTCCATTCATGGCCCCTTTCACCTCCCGAGGCCCCAATGCTATCGAACCCAATCTTCTAAAGCCGGATATTACGGCACCGGGATTTAATATACTGGCAGCATGGAGTGAAGTTGCTTCCCCTTTCGGTGTCGCATCCGATAATCGAGTTGCGAAGTACAACATTATTTCCGGTACATCAATGTCTTGCCCACATGTTGCAGGTGTGGCGGCACTTATCAAAGCCATACATCCCGATTGGAGCAGCGCCGCCATCAGATCTGCTCTCATGACCACCAGTATAAAATTAACTAAATTAACAATTTCACCTTAAATTCATTACATTCTCTTCCAAGACTACTTCATGCATGTGCTAATTATTCTTGCAGCAAGCCCTATCAACAATTTGGACAATCTAATAACCGACGCACTCGGGATTTTCGCCACCCCATTGCAATACGGGTCGGGCCACATCCAGCCGTCGAAAGCTGCTGATCCAGGCCTCGTGTACGACGCTTCTTACTCGGATTATCTTCTCTTCCTATGCAGCAGCACTGGCAATTTCTTGGACCCAACTTTCAACTGTCCGATAATTCCACCCTCGGCCAGTAATTTAAACTACCCATCACTTGCAATAACTAACCTGATCGGAGCTGTGACGGTGGAGAGAACCGTTACGAACGTAGGAGCCGGGAACACCACATACACGGTGTCGACTTCTGTTCCACGGGGTTACACATTCACAATCTCACCGTCGATTTTGCATTTCAGTGCAACAGGGGAGAAGCAGAGCTTCACAATTACGGTTGCGGCTGCGGCAACTGCTTCCGGTAATGCTTTTGGTTGGTACGTGTGGTTTGACGGGACTCATGTTGTAACAAGCCCCGTTGTAATAAACACCGTGTTCTAAATTCTAATCAATCACCTCTTCTTTTTTTCATTTGCCTCCTGTCATCATGTGTATATTTCCATAAGTGAAAAGGAGTTTGATTGTATACTTGTGAAATAACTAAGGGCTATAATTATCCTAGTGAAATAAATATCAGCACATACTTTTATGTTTAGAAGACAAAAGGTATAAATAAATACCTTTCTATTAACTTTGATCAATATTTTAACTATTAACTGTAAATAACTCTAATTTGAAGGACCAAACTACAATTTTATATAATTTCTTCGAAACCTTTCACCGCCACTCAAATCACCCACCGTCTCCGCCGCCTTCTCCCCGACGGCATTCAGCCGATACGAGAATATAATGATTTTGAGAACATCAATAAGTATACAACAAGAAAATTAAAAAATAATAATAATAAAAATCAGAGTAAAATCAAGGTTTTTTTGAATGAAATAAAAACATAGACTACTTACTGTCACCATGGAAACACTGAACTCCGACGGCATCAGGACCGATGAAACATTGAATTTCTGGAAGGAACACCACAATGTAAATTACTTCGCATATATAGCCTGATTTTAATTATAGTTCGTATCAGTAAGAGAGAATATCACGGTTGGAATTAGGGCAACGAAAGGGGGATCGGGTCGAAAAAGAAAAGTTCGCAAGTAGCCTGTTGACCCGCGAAACCTCTGTAAATTTACACTCTCAGTGTGTGTGTGTGTGTGTGAGAGAGAGAGAGAGGGGGTAATGAAAAACAAGGCCCAAAAAGCTCTGATCTCTGGCCCAATATCAAACTAAATGTATGGCCCAGTAAATGGACTTTTGGAATACTACATATTAGTTTCTAAATCTGTAAAATAATAATTATACATAGCATATAATTAAAGGGCTTTTTAATAATATTTAATATGAGCCAATTTTAAGATTATATAAAATTATCAAATAAAGGGAAGAGGAATTATGAACATGTCAAATTTGGTGTAATAAATTAAAAAAATAAAATTAACCTTGCTTTTATTATAGGGATTATTTGATATAACCCCTCATATGCTCTTTGCGCTTAGTATAGGCCCAAAATATATTTTTCTTTTTGAGATAAATCCAAATTATATTATAACATATTTTTTTTTTGCGATATTTCTATATTGCCCCTATGTATATATGGACGATATTATTTTTCTATTATTTGACGTGTCCATCTCTCTTCTTCTTTACGCCTCCAATTACCTTCATCGTCTGATAAAATTATTTTCTCTGAAATTAGCGTTTCACATGTCGAACATTATCGAAACCTTCCTCGATCGCCACACGCTTTCGATTATCATCGCACTCTACGAATGGGTCTCAACCCGGAATCTCTCGCCGCTGTTGTTAAGGAGTTTCGCAGGGATTCAACACCGCCTTCCTCAGACACAGTTGCACCACCTCCTTGACCAGGTAATGGGTTAATCAATCTTGGTAGTAGTTGATATACGTTTTTAATTATTGTGTAATGAAATTAAGTATGTTTATGGGTGTTGAACCCTTGAATGCCTATTTTGTGGGTTTTTTTTTTGGAAGATCCTTATAAAAATGAGACTAAATATGTGAAGGTGTTTGCTTATATGCGCAAACCAGAAAATTTCCTCTCAATCGCATATCTCGCTGCCGACAAGATCCATGGAAATCTGTTCAGACGGTCCCCAACATCCCTTCGACGAGTTTGGGTTCACATACTTGAAGACGACCCCTGACCTTCCAGAGCACTCCAAGGTATTTTTATCATTTTTTGCGGTGGGTTCGACGATTTCTTCCCTCCAACGCACACGCCGCTGCCGGGGCTGTTATGCCGAGATGGCAGCACATTTTTTAGATAGGCCGTGGCATCTCAACAACTATGAGGAAAAATTGCCTCGGCTACAATCGATCAATCGCCGAAATTAGCGGTCGTGTAAGCAGTGCTCCGATTTTACATATTCCATTTCTTTTCAGACAAAATATACCTGCTGCAGGCGCGAGGAATAGAGGAGGGGGTGTCGATGCGCTTACGGTAAATAGTAGTTTTCGACATTAAATAGTGGATTACGGTAGAGGGATGGGGTTGACAACGCGTACAGTGAATAGTGGATTTCAAATTTAGACAGTGGATAGTGGTTTTCGTAAATAGTGGTTTTCGAATTCTTACGCGACATTAAATAGTGGATTACGTTAGAGGGACATTGAATAGTGTATTTCAAATTCAGCGCAATGAACAATGGATTACGTTAATTTTTTTTAGATAGTGAATGTTCATAAATTTCGATGTGTACCGTAATAGTGGATTTTAAACTTAGACAGTGAATAGTGAATTACGTTAATTTTACAATGGATTACGACAATTTAACTTATTATTTTATATTTTTTTTATAATGAATGTCGATAGATTTTGATAAATGTCTAGTGGATTTCATTTTTTGGTAAACCTGTCGGAAGTAAAATGATTTTTTTTTAAACTGAAATTTTCAATAAGTTTACATTGAATTTTCGTAATACATAATGTTAATTATTTAGTGGTTTTCGATAAGCTTATAATGGATTTTCGTAATGAACTACATTAATTCATAGTGGTTTTCGAGAAGTTTTTAATGAATTTTTGTAATAGAATACATTAATTACATAGTGGTTTTCGTTGATTACATAGTGGTTTTCGGTAAATTTATAGTGAATTTCAATTTGTTAAAAACTTTGTTTTTTAAATCGAACTGTAAAAAGAGAATTTAAAAAAAAAATCAAAATTAAAAATCAATTTTTAATTACGACAATATTTTTTTTAAGAAAATCAAAATTTTATAATTTTCTTATAAAAAAGCTTACCAATAAAAATAAATTAAAAAAAAACACAATTTAATCAAAATTTTAAAAAACAATTTCTGCAAAAAAAAAAAGGCCTAAATTAAAAATAGAATCAAACAACGTAATTTATTTTAATTGAAATAGTTTAAGATTTTTTGAGAGATTTTGGGGGATTAGGCGAATTTTTAGGGGAGTTGTTTTGGGAAATTAAATTAAACATTAAAATTAAAAAAATATACGACAAGGGTAATATAAGTATTTTGCTATGAAAGGGGTTATCCCAAAAGTAAGATTATTAATTGGACTTATCCCTATTAGGAAATTAAATAAAGGGGTTATCTCATATAACCCCTTTATTATAATGGATATTAAATAATGTATTGAACCAGCAAATTAATAACAAAATTTGTGAACCAAATGTGACTTGACGTCATTGCTTATCATACTATATTTATGAAGTATTAAATATAAAAACTTGGGATGAGTGTGTATATATATATATATATATATATATATATATATATATATATATATATATATATATATATATATATATATATATATATATATATATATTGATATGCCTATTGGCTCAGCCCAATAGACTCATATTTACTGGGCCACAGACCCAACTTAATAGCTATTTATACGAAGGCCCAATCACCCAAAGAAGGTTGGACCCGATAAATTGATCTCGGCTCAATCAATAAAGTATAAATACAACTTTAATTCATTTAATAAAGGTACGTTATTATTATTCAATCAATTCTTCTATTCGAATTCTCTCTACAATTACCAACTATCTTCACGTCTGACTTGAGCGTTGGAGGGGTTTCCGTCGGATCAACCCCCGGCTTAGATTATGTGTTTTCTGTTCGCAGTGACTTGAGCGTTGGAGGGGTTTCCGTTGGATCAACCCCCGGCTTAGATTACGTGTTTTCTGTTCGCAGGATCCTAGAGTAAATAAAAGTTCTCAAGACTATTTAGCTCGTGAGCACGTGACCTACTTTGCTCTCCCAGCTTCAACACACTAGGTGATTTATTTTTTACGTCATCATATATATATATATATATATATATATATATATATATATATATATATGGGAAATCACGAGTTTCTCAATCAAGGTCATCATCATGAATCTCCAGATTCCAAAATATAAGATAATAGGAGTGCATTGACCTCGATGTATACTTGATTAAAAGGCAATATGTTATATTTATTATTAAATATTAATAATCAATAGCCGTCGTACATGTTCCATTGGAGAGAGAGAGAGAGAGAGAGAGAGAGAGAGAGAGAGAGAGAGAGAGAGAGAGAGAGAGTCGTTGAAGAGTTCAATTCACTGGGGAATATGCTTGATCTTCATTTGGGAAAAAAAACCATTTTTCGAATAAATTAATGAACTAAAGAATTAATAATAAACAGTTGAATGACAAAATATAATGTGACGTATATATTTTAGGGCCATGATGAAGTTTTCATAGATTGGCATGAAATTGACCTTGTTCATCGTTACATAAATTCGAATACATCCATATGATGAAAGTGCGCGGTGTCATTTGATTCAGGATTCGAACCACCGTGTCGATAATTATAAAAAAACAATTAAAATAAATAAAAGGTTGAAACTTCAAACATGCTTGGGCCAATTCTTCGTATGTTATATTTGTAGCTTTAAAAAAGAAGTCATTAGCCATTTGTAATAATTAAGTAACTGAATTATATTATTCATCGTTGTCGAAGAACTGGTCTTAATGGACTAACGTGCATTGTTTAGTGCACGCCAACATTATGCATTGTTTAGGACGACAGATCCTTTCTTAATTCCCTACTTAAACGTATATATAAACTGCAACCGATGAGACGATGAAATATATAAACATCTTAAATTAAATAAGAATGAAAATAATTCACTTACTAACCATTGTTTTCTGCCTTGCTCTACTTCTCAAGATCAATGTCTCATCAGCCTCATTTGATCCTCTACGAAAGGTTTTGCATCTCATCTTCGATTTTGCACTTTACACATGTATATAATAATTTTGTCACTATATGATATGTACGTATGTATATATGTATATGTATAGGTGTACATAGTGTACCTGGGAGAGCATGTCGGAGACAAAACATTCCAAGAAATCGAAGACCTTCACCACTCGTATTTGCACTCAGTTAAGGGATCGAGAGAGGAAGCAAAAGCGTGCGTTGTTTACAGCTACAAAAAAGTCATCAATGGCTTCTCTGCCCTGCTCACCCCTGATGAAGCTCATAAAATATCAAGTGATTACTGGCTTCATATTTAATTAAATAGACCAATTAATATATATTTATGCATGCATGCATGAATATATTATTTTACATTTGTAATTAATTGATTAGAAATTTGATTAAATTGTTGGACAGAGATGGATGGTGTGATTTCAGTGTTTCACAGCGACCCGGATAAATCGAGGCCTCACACGACAAGATCATGGGATTTCATTAACTTACTCGAAGCTAGATGGGATACCACACAACCTAGCACCAGAGAAAAACTGTTGAATCAAGCTGGCTCCGGCCAGAATGTCGTTGTCGGCGTACTCGACACCGGTGATTAAATTAAATTAAAACCCATTTTTTCAATATTTTATGATTAATTAATTTTCTTTAATTAAACTTCCATATGCAATATTTAGGCATATGGCCAGAGTCAGAGAGTTTCAGTGATGTGGGAATGGGACCTATCCCAACAACCTGGAATGGAATCTGCCAGCCTGGTGCTAATTATGATTCTTCTCATTGTAATAGGTACTGATCATTTCATTTTTTTCACTAAGAAAGAAAGAATTCAAATTAGATCATTTGGTAATTAATTAAACAGGAAACTGGTGGGGGCCCGCTACTATTTGAGGGGTTACGAGGCGAATTTCGGTCCGCTAGATCCCACAATCGACTTCCGATCAGCAAGGGATTCCGACGGGCACGGGACCCACACAGCGTCCACCGTGGGCGGCCGGAATGTTCCGAACGCCGCCGCGGTCGGCGGCTTCGGCATAGGGAACGCCACCGGAGGGGCGCCACTGGTGCGCCTGGCCGTTTACAAAGTATGCTGGAACAAACCGGTGGATCGTGGAGGAGGGGGCACGTGCCTGGACGATGACATGCTGGCGGCTTACGATGATGCAATCGCAGATGGAGTTGACATCATCAGTGTCTCAATTGGCTCGACCACCGGTAAGTCCTATGTTGACGACGGGGGTGCCATTGGAGCATTGCATGCCGTGAAAAGGAATATTGTGGTGGTTTGCAGCGCTGGCAATTCGGGGCCTCGCCCGTTTAGCGTGACGAACATCGCCCCGTGGATCATCACTGTTGGAGCGAGTAGCATCGATCGGGTTTTTTCGTCACCTGTCGTTCTTGGAAATGGTGTAGTGGCAGAGGTTAGAGTATATAATACTGCAAATTAAATCATTATTTCTATTTTCATGGGCGTTTCAATGATTCCAAATCTTGCATGTACGAACAGGGACAATCGATTACTCCATTCGTGAGGGGAACTTTCCCACTTGTTTACGCAGCGGATGTAGAAATTCCGGGCACCACCACAAATCTCACATTCGGGTTAGAACTCAGCTTTATTGATCGAATAAAATAAACAGGACGGTTATTACTTTTTCGCCGAATAGAAAATCAACTACGAAAGATGTTTTTTCTTCATTACATAGACTATGCAACCCTGGGACACTTTCGCCAGCGCTGGTGGCAGGAAAAGCGGTGTTCTGCTGGAGAGGGAGCACCGCCGAAGCATTAGAAGTGCAAAGAGCTGGCGGCGTAGCCGTGGTGCTCGGAAACCCAGATGATGGAGTAGGCGTCTCCCAAACGCCTTATGTGATTCCGGCAAGTGTTGTTCTTTCCGATCAAAAATTAAAAATCTTCAATTACACCCAATCTACAGCAACACCGACGGCAACCTTGACTCCGGCGAGGACATTGATAGGCGGCTCCAGCCCAACTCCATTCATGGCCCCTTTCACCTCTCGAGGCCCCAATGTTATCGAACCCAATCTTCTAAAGCCGGATATTACAGCACCGGGATTTAATATACTGGCAGCATGGAGTGAAGTTGCTTCTCCTTTCGGCGTCCCATCCGATAATCGAGTTGCTAAGTTCAACATTATTTCCGGTACATCGATGGCTTGCCCACATGTTGCAGGCGTGGCGGCACTTATCAAAGCCATACATCCCGATTGGAGCAGCGCCGCCATCAGATCTGCTCTCATGACCACCAGTATAAAATTAATTAAATTTCACCTTAAATTCATTACATTCTCTTCCAAGACTAATTCATGCATGTGCTAATTATTCTTGCAGCAAGCCCGGTCAACAATTTAGGCAATCTAATAACAGACGCACTCGGGAATTTCGCCACCCCATTGCAATACGGGTCGGGCCACATCCAGCCGTCGAAAGCTGCCGATCCGGGCCTCGTATACGACGCTACTTACTCCGACTATCTTCTCTTCCTATGCAGCAGCATTGGCAATTTCTTGGACCCAACTTTCACCTGTCCGATAGTTCCACCCTCGGCCAGTAATTTTAACTACCCGTCACTTGCAATAACTAACCTGATCGGAGCAGTGACGGTGGAGAGAACCGTTACGAACGTAGGAGCGGGGAACACCACATACACGGTGTCGACATCTGTTCCACGGGGTTACACGTTCACAATCTCACCGTCGACTTTGCATTTCAGCGCGACGGGGGAGAAGCAGAGCTTCAGTATTACGGTTGCGGCTGCGGCTGGTGCTCCGGGTAATGCATTTGGCTGGTATACTTGGTTTGACGGGACCCATGTTGTAAGAAGCCCCGTCGTAATAAACACGGTCTAATCACCTCTGGGAAATCTTGAATGCTGCCATTGTTTTTCCTTTGCCTCCTCCTGTCATGTGTGTGTAGTGTGTACTGTAATAAGTGAACAAGAATTCATTGAATTCTTGCGAAAAATTATGCTTGTGAAATAAAAAATCAGCAAATACTTTTATGTTTAGAAATCAAAGGTATACATACCCTTTTATTAACAAGGATCAATATTTTCATTTTAATTGTAAAATAAATCTAATTTGAAGGACTAAATTGCAATTCTTATAGTTCCTTAGAACCCTAACCTGTATCGCCCTATTCTTTTCACCTTCCACCCAAATCAACCCACTCTCACAGTCACCGCCTAACTTAATGATAGGATCACCATCAGGCAGCTCCGCTGTTACGTGCAAAATCGAAGTGACAGAAGAGGAAAGAAGAAGAAGAAGTCTGCCATGCAATTTTAATCCATGCAATTTATTATTATTTGTCGAGTCAGAATTACTCTTGTAGAGTAATATCGCATTAAACTAAAAACGCAATATATAAATGCGTTTCTATTAGTAATATTCGTAGCAACTTTAGGTTTCCTTATCTACCGCGCCAGCAAATGGAAGAGCAACACGTGGCACTCGAAGGACGGACTTTCAACTCCCGTTCATTTACTATACTCGTGTTTTCCTTTTGCACGCTTTCTATTCTTAGCTTGCACTTTCTACTTTTAGGGTTATAAATATAGTATGTTTGAGTAGGAGAAGGGCAGCTGATTTTGGTGTAGCCTATCTTCGTCTTCTCCGAGCGTCTGAACCTGTGTTGGACTTAACCTTCGAAGCACTTTCAGTGTTAGAGCTTCCCGAGTGGTTCTTGTATCCGTTGTTTGTGAATCGAATATTATATTTTCTGCGTTATTATTCTTGTTATTGCTATATTTGTGTTTTGAACGTTGCAGTTGGTATCAGAGCCGTCGATCCTCGGTGGCTCGGAATCTGGAAATAAGAGAGAGTAGTCATGGCAGAAGGAACTAGGTATGCGGAGCTGCGAAAGGAAATGGATCAGTTGAGAGATCAGATCCACTCCTTAGCTGAGAGTAATGATAAGAGTAGGGAAGAAAGTAGCCGAAACATGCAGGAGATGAGAGCTGGAATGGCGGTGATGCTAACTAAGCTCACCGGAGCTCCAGATCCAACGGCGGAGGAACCTCGAGCCCCAGATCCAGAGAGAAGAAGGAACCGAATGGAAACCCAAGGGCAACTGGTGTATAGATGCCTACAAAGTGCTCTTCGGTGGAGTTTCCACGGTATGATGGTGTAGATCTGAAGGGTTGGGTGTATCGATGTGAGCAATTCTTCGATGTAGATGAAACTCCGGTTGAATCTAAGGTTAAGTTGGCTTCCATGCACTTGCAGTGGATGGGAGGGCACTGCAGTGGCACCAAACATACATGAAGGCCAGACTCACTAGGGAGATCCCTCACTGGGAAGAGTCCTCAACAGCAGATTTGGAACCTTACTCTTCGAAGACCCCATGTCCGAGTTGATGAATCTGAAGCAGACAGGGCCATTACAAGATTTTCTGGACCAATTTGATGTGTTGATGAACAGTGTGGACCTCTCAGAAGCTCAGGCAGTGAGTTGTTTCTTAGGGGGGGGGAAAGGGGGGGGGGGTAAAACCAGAAATTGCCATCCCTATTCGAATGTTTAAGCCTAAAACCATGATGGAAGTGGTAAGTTTGGCCAAGCTGCAAGAGCAGTCTATTGAGATGAACTCACCAAGAAAAAACAGTACTCAACCACCTATTCGAGCCAGTTACACTCACCACAGACCCAATCCCTTGCTTATTAACCGGAGCCCCACTCACACCCCCCACTTCCAACCTCCCAAACCTCACTACTCACCCCCTATCCTACCAAAACCGAACCACCACCCACCCAGAAACCCATCCATGAGCCCAAACCGAAGAATACCCAACCATGACCTTGATGAGCGTAGAGCTAAGGGACTTTGCTTTTGGTGTGATGAGAAGTACTCTAGAGATCATCACTGCCCTAAAAGAAGACAAATGTATGTAATGGAGATTGGGGATGAGGAAGGAAGCCCTGGAAGTGAACTTGAATCTCCCTCTACTATGACATCAGAGGACAGACAAGAGTGGGAAGGAGAGGAACCTATCTCTCATGTGTCTGTTCATGCCATCACTGGAGCTCATGATTTCAAAACCATGAGATTAAAAGGGTCAGCCAGAGGAAAGACCATTAGATTAGAATCCTGATAGACAATGGAGCTACCCACAATTTTATTGACTTGGAGACTGCTAAGTTGTTAGGATGTAAGTTGGTGGAGTCTAAGCCTTTCTCAGTTACTGTAGCTGGGGGAAACTGACTGAGAAGTCAGTACAAATGCATAGCATTTGTATGGAAGATGCATGGAGTGGAATTCACAGCAGATGTGATGACCCTACATTTGGGCACTTGTGATCTAGTACTGGGAATACAGTGGTTGGCAACCCTTGGAGATATAGTCAGTAACTATCAAGAATTGAGAATGGAGTTCAACTATGGGGGCAGAAAAGTGATGCTTAGAGGTCTTCATCAGAGCAATGTTAAGATGATTTCCAACAAAAAACTCAATAGAATCTTACAGAACCCTTCACAAATTGCATATCAATGCATTGGGGCCATGCAAGAATGTGAAGAGTATGAAGAGTCAGAAAAGGGACCAGCAAGCACTGAGGCAAGTTTCCAATCCTTAGAGGTCCACATGGATCAACCACTACAACAATTGCTCACTGAGTATGAAAATCTGTTCAAGGAGCCCAAGACTTTACCACCCAACAGATTACATGATCACAGAATTCACTTAAAAGGAGGAACAAAAGCAGTGAATGTGAGGCCTTACAGATATCCCACTATCCAGAAAACTGAAATTGAGAATATAGTTGAGGAATTGTTGCAATCTGGGGTAATCAGACCAAGTTCTAGTCCTTTTTCTTCCCCTGTGGTGCTGGTTAAGAAGAAAGACCACACTTGGAGGATGTGTGTGGATTATAGAGAACTGAACAAGCACACCATTAAGGATAAATTTCCTATTCCACTAATTGAAGAGCTTATGGATGAACTTCACGGGGCTAGTGTGTTTTCTAAATTGGATCTCAGATCTGGTTATCATCAGATTAGGATGCAAAAGAAAGATGTAATGAAGACTGCATTCAGAACATACCATGGCCACTTTGAATTTTTAGTAATGCCATTTGGATTAACTAATGCACCATCTACATTTCAGAGCTTGATGAATGCTGTCTTTCAACACCAATTGAGGAAGTTCATATTAGTCTTCTTTGATGACATTTTAATCTACAGTAAGGATTGGGACTCTCATCTGACACAACTTAGGGAAACATTAGAGATCCTGAGGAGAAATCAGTTGTTCTTGAAGAAGAGTAAGTGTTCATTTGGCACTTCCACCATTGAATACTTAGGACATGTTATTACTCCAGAGGGTGTGGCAGCAGACCCATCCAAAACTCAAGCCATGGTGAACTGGCCCATACCAAAGTCACTAAAGGAGCTGAGGGGATTCCTAGGCTTGACAGGGTACTATAGAAGATTTGTTAAGGGTTATGGGAAGATAGCACAACCTCTTACTGCACTTCTGAGAAAGGACAGCTTCAAATGGAATGATTCAGCTCAAATGGCTTTCCAAGAACTGAAGCAAGCTATGACCCAAACACCTGTGCTGGCACTACCAGATTTTTCTAAGGAATTTGTAGTAGAAACTGATGCTTCTGGCAGTGGATTAGGAGCAGTTCTCATGCAGCAAGAAAGACCTATTTCCTTTACGAGCAAGGCATTAACTACATTTCAAGGGGGGTTATTTACTTATGAGAAGGAATTACTAGCATTGGTGACTGCCATTCAAAAATGGAGACCCTACCTCATATACAGTCACTTTGTAGTCAGAACTGACCATCAAAATTTAAAACACCTCTTGGATCAGAGAGTATCCAGCCCAGCTCAACAAAAATGGCTAGTGAAATTGATGGGATATGATTTCACCATTGTGTACAAGAAAGGCAAAGAGAATGTGGTAGAAGATGGTCTTTCAAGAATCAAGACAGATTCCACCTTGTTTACTATCACATGGCATCAATGTGTATTTGTGGAAGAAATCAAGAAAACTTACACCACTGATCCTAAACTGGAAAGAATCATAACTGCCATCAAGATTGGGACCAATTTGAGGACATCTTATACTTGGGACAACAATTTGCTATTCAGAAAAGGGAAATTGATGGTGGGGTCTCAAGATGACCTGAAACAGCAACTTCTCCACCACTACCATGCTTCAGCAGTAGGAGGACATTCTGGCATCCACAGCACCTTGCACAAGCTTAAACAAATACTGTATTGGAAGGGTTTAAAATCTGATGTCTATAAGTTCATTCAGCATTGTGATATGTGTCAAAGGAATAAGGGGGAAACACTAGCTTCTCCAGGACTGTTGCAGCCTCTACCTATACCTAACAGAATTTGGGAAGAAATTTCTATGGATTTTATTGGTGGATTACCTATTTCTGGAGGAAAGGATTCCATTTTG